CAGCTAACCATCATCACAAACAACTTAACAACAGCCAACATCATCACACAACCATCACAAACAACATAACAACAGCCCCCATCATCACACAACCATCACAAACAACATAACAACAGCCACCATCATCACACAACCATCACAAACAACATAACAACAGCCACCATCATCCACACAACCATCACAAACAACATAACAACAGCCACCATCATCACACAACCATCACAAACAACATAACAACAGCCACCATCACCACACAACCATCACAAACAACATAACAACAGCCACCATCATCACACAACCATCACAAACAACAAAACAACAGCCACCATCACCACACAACCATCACAAACAACATAATAACAGCCACCATCACACACAACCATCACAAACAACAAAACAACAGCCACCATCATCACACAACCATCACAAACAACATAACAACAGCCACCATCATCACACAACCATCACAAACAACATAACAACAGCCACCATCATCACAAACAACATAACAACAGCCACCATCATCACAAACAACATAACAACAGCCACCATCATCACACAACCATCACAAACAACATAACAACACCACCATCATCACACAATCATCACAAACAACATAACAGCCACTATCACAACAACCATCACAAACAACATAACAACCCAGCCACCATCATCACAACCATCAAAAACAACATAACAACAGCCACCACATCACAAAAACATCACAAAAAACATAACAACAGCCACTACACACACAACCATCCAAACAACATAACAACAGCCACCATCATCACACAACCATCACAATCAACATAACAACAGCCCCCCAATCACCACACAAGCATCACAAACAACATAACAACAGCCACCATCATCACACAACCATCACAAACAACATAACAACAACCACCATCATCACACAACCATCACAAACAACATAACAACAGCCACCATCATCACACAACCATCACAAACAACATAACAACACCACCATCACCCAAAAACAACATAACAACAGCAAACCATCATCCAAAAAAACAACTTAACAACAGCCAACATCATCACAAAACCATCACAAACAACATAACAACACCCACCATCATCACACAACCATCACAAACAACATAACAACACCACCATCATCACTCAACCATCACAACAACATAACAACAGCAACCATCATCACACAACCATCACAAACAACATAACCACAGCCACCATCATCACACAACCATCACAAACAACATAACAACAGCCACCATCATCACACAACCATCACAAACAACATAACAACAGCCACCATCACCACACAACCATCACAAACAACATAACAACAGCCACCATCATCACACAACCATCACAAACAAAAACAGCCACCATCATCACACAACCATCACAAACAACATAACAACAGCCACCATCATCACACAACCATCACAAACAACATAACAACAGCCACCATCATCACAAACAACATAACAACAGCCACCATCATCACAAACAACATAACAACACCCACCATCATCACACAACCATCACAAACAACATAACAACGCCACCATCATCACACAACCATCTAAAACAACATAACAACAGCTACTATCATCACACAACCATCACAACAACATAACAACACCACCATCACACAACCATCACAAACAACATAACAACACCACCATCATCACACAACCATCACAAACAACATAACAACAGCCACTATCATCACACAACCATCACAAACAACATAACAACAGCCACCATCATCACACAACCATCACAAACAACAAAAAAACAGCCACCATCACCACACAACCATCACAAACAACATAACAACAGCCACCATCATCACAAACAACATAACAACAGCCACCATCATCACACAACCCCACAAACAACATAACAACAGCCACCATCACCACACAACCATCAAAAACAACAGAACAACAGCCACCATCCCCCCACAACCATCACAAACAACATAACAACAGCCACCATCATCAAAACAACCATCACAAACAACAAAAACAACAGCCACCATCACCACACAACCATCACAACAACATAACAACAGCCACCATCATCACACAACCATCACAAACAACATAACAACAACCACCATCATCACACAACCATCACAAAGAACATAACAACAGCCGCCATCATCACACAACCATCACAAAGAACATAACAACAGCCACCATCATCACAGAACCATCACAAACAACATAACAACAGCCACCATCATCACACAACCATCACAAACAACATAACAACAGCCACCATCATCAAAACAACCATCACAAACAACATAACAACACCACCACATCACAAACAACAAACAACAGCCACCATCATCACACAACCATCACAAACAACATAACAACAACCACCATCATCACACAACCACCCAAAAACAACATAACACAGCCACCCATCACCACACAACCTCACAAACAACATAACAACAGCCACCATCATCATCACAACCATCACAAACAACATAAAAACAGCCACCATCATCATCACAACCATCACAAACAACAAAACAACAGCCACCATCATCACACAACCATCACAAACAACATAACAACAGCCACCATCATCACACAACCATCACAAACAACATAACAACAGCCACCATCATCACACAACCATCACAAACAACATAACAACACCACCATCATCACACAACCATCACAAACAACAAACAACAGCCACCATCACCACACAACCATCACAAACAACAAAACAAAAAGCCAACCACATCACACAACCATCACAAACAACATAACAACAGCCACCATCATCACACAACCATCACAAACAACATAACAGCCACCATCATCACACAACCATCACAAACAACATAACAACAACCACCATTAACCCCGGGAACAACATTGTTCCAGTCCAGGGAACTGAACTTTTTCTCCAGGCTGAGGGACTGACCACCTCAAATACTGTTTCTTCAAAGTTGATGGACTGATTACATTACCTTCACCACTACACCTGATGACTCTTTTTTTGACTGAAGAGACCTACTGTGTTAGTGAAACGTTTCCCATGTGTCCCTTTAAAAATCACATTTTGGCATCATTATATTCCATGCTACAACAGAACGTTTATTCAGATCGCTTCAAACTTTTAGCGACTAAGGTTCACATAATCGTCTGGGGGTCAGTCCCAATTACTAATTGGTTAAAAAGTGTTTGAAAATTCGCAAAAATAACCAGTGAGGGATTATGCTGAGTCGTAGCCTACTCAATGAGCTGTGTTTTCAAGGTCGAGCTGCAAACGCCTCTTTAATGTGAAAGAAGTAAATCTGAGGGAAGGTAGATCGAGTCCTCACTGCTCCTTACCTCAATAACCCAAGCGGGTTTAGTTCTCAAGTTACTTAATCCTAATTTATAATTAACTATCGTTGAAATATACTGAAAACATACACACATACGGGGCCAGGAGCTGTGACTCGACCCTTGCAACCACAATTAGGTGGGTACACACACACACACACACACACACACATACACATACATAGTTTTAAAGCGAGGTATGATAGAGCTCATGGGGCAGGGAGAGAGAGGACCTAGTAGCAATCAGCGAAGAGGCGGGGCCAGGAGCTATGACTCGACCCCTGCAACCACAAATAGGTGAGTACAAATAGGTGAGTACACAGCAAGACTAGTTCCAGAGCTAAGTAGTAAATCCTACGAGGAGAGGTTTAGGGAAATCGACCTGACAACACTGGAGGACAGGAAAGATAGGCGGGACATGATAACGACATGTAAAATACTGAGAGAAACTGACAAGGTGGATAGGGGCAGATTTGACACAGCAACAAGGGGTCACAACTGTAAATAGAAGACTCAAATGAGTCACAGGGATGTTAGGAAGTATTTCTTCAGTCATAGAATTGTCAGGAAGTGGAACAATCTTGAGAGTGATGTAGTGGAGGCAGGATCCATACATAGCTTTAAGAAGAGGTATGATAAAGCTCATGGAGCAGGGACAGTGAACCTAGTAGCGACCAGTGATGAGGCGGGGCCAGGAGCTGTGAATCAACCCTTTCAACCATAAACAGGTGGGTACAAATAGATGAGTACACACACAAGTACGGTGCTAACACATACACAGGGAACACCCACACAAGGAAGACGGTAATGAAACAAGGGGAGCTGGGAAGAGAGAACAGAACACACACACAAGGAACACGGTAATGAAACAAGGGGAGCTGGGGAGAGAGAACAGAACACACACACAAGGAACAGGATTGCTTGAGAGTATAATTGGTTAAGAGTTGGTGCTGGAGACGACTGTTTTTAGTGTCTGTCTGTCTTGTGTGGAAGCAACAGTGATGTGTGTGTGTGTGTGTGTTAGTGACAAGCCTATATGTGTGAATATCAGTGACAGGCCTATATGTGTATGTCAACGACAGGCCTATATGTGTATGTCAACGACAGGCCTATATGTGTATGTCAACGACAGGCCTATATGTGTATGTCAACGACAGGCCTATATGTGTATGTCAACGACAGGCCTATATGTATATGTCAACGACAGGCCTATATGTGTATGTCAACGACAGGCCTATATGTGTATGTCAACGACAGGCCTATATGTGTGTCAGTAACAGGTCTACATACATTTGCGGTGTTAGCAATAGACCTATGTGCGGAGCTAACGACAGGCTTGCATATTTCTATGGTGTCAGTAAAACTTAAGTGTGGTGTTAGTAACAAGCCTATGAATGTGATAGGCCTGTTTGTATGTCATCATTGAAAGACCTACACACATCTGTGCGGTGTTACGAATAGGTCTACGTGTCTGTGATAGGTGTACATGTGTCTGGGGTGCCATTGCCAGGCCTATATGTCTGTGCAGTAGTGTGAGTCTCACCTATGTATGGTTGCAGGGGTCGAATCACAACTCCTGGAGTTAAAAGTTGCTATCTTAGAAAATAAGAGATTAGTGGTTCTAATAATCGTCGGGAATAACAAGAATAACAGGACAAGTGTTTCCTGACGCGGGTCTTCGATGATGACCCGCCGTTAGAGCTTTTGGACATCTGACCGAGGCCTTCCACTGGCTTACCTCGCCATCCTTTAAAAATTTTGGTCATAGTTGTAACCAGTTAGGTAAGGTTCGTCAGGAAACAATACATATTAGAATAATGACAATTAAAAATGCGACATAAAGAGTAAATTACTGAAAAAATTATCAAAGATATTAGAAAATGAAAATTTGGAGAGAACTGGAGGGGTAACTTAGCTCTCTTACCCATGTTTCTTGGTTACTGTGACTTACCCTGTAAGATCTGCTGACAAACATGAATTCGACCCCCTCGAGGGTTGAGAGTGTCAGGAAGAGTCGTGCAAGACAGAACTGGGCCCTCAGGGGCGTCCTCAGCTGGGTGAAGCCATCTGAAGACACCATCTTTCAGGTGAGTTGGCCTTTGATGGTTGGGTATCTTGATGTTAGTGAAGGGTTCTTGGTCCTAGGAGTTGGAGCTAGCCTCCCCTTTTTCCAACTAATTCTGACTATTTCCCATTTTATGACCCGTCCGAATTTAGTGCTTCCCGTGAATTTAATAAGAGTCAAGTTAATTTTAGAAAGCTAGATTAGTAACCCGGGAAAGCCAGGAAAACCAGGAAAGCCAGGAAAGCCAAGCAGTGTGGCTTTTTGCTACTGGGATCTTTAGGTCCTCCTGCCCAGGATGCCACTCACGACAGTCACCAGGTGACAAACACCCAGGTACCTACGTACTGCCAAGTGTAGAGAGGCTTACCCATCCGGTTGGCCTCGACCGAGAATCGAACACTGACACTGTTACATGTAAGCCCAGTGCTCCCGTCCATTGCAATAAGTTTATTTAGGTCGACACCTGGTCACAGACCGGGCCGGGGGGAGCGTTCACCCCCGAAACCTTCTCCATAGCAATACAACCACAAACAGGCTATCTTAACAATGCAGAACAAGCCACATTGGGATGGAAATCTTTAGCTCTAGATCTTTCACACTATCGTGCGTCGTCAGGAGCTATGCAATGTTGCAAGACAACAATAGACAGAAGGGGAAATTCTCTGAGTCAAGGCAGAAGGTATCAATGGCGGCCCATATTGTAGAAATAAAGATTATTATTATTATTTCTTGAGAATATATGTTCTAGAAGGTTCAGTCATGCGACTGAAGGACACCCTGGGTGCGACTCCCCAGATGGTCGACCCTGAAGAGGGTCCCAGAAGGGGGTCGAATTATACAGATCAATTAGTCTTCTGAACTTCTGTCTCCATGTGAGTTATTATTAAGCATTAACAAGTGTTCATAACACTTCAGTTATTCACTCCCTTACTCTACTTATTTACTCCCGTGGCTTGGTTGGCAACGCTCTCGCCTCACATACTGAGTGTCCCTGGTTCGATCCCCTGCACGGGTGAAAATGTTGGGCATTTTTCTTTGCACCTGCTGTCCCTGTTCACCTAGCA